GATGGAAGTCCTCCGCTGAAACACCGACCTTCTCCAAAGCTCACCTTTTGTGGCTGGGTCTCTCCTTCCTGCCAGACAATTCCCATGGTGATCGCGCCGAGCACCAAGTGGGCCAGGCGAAGCTCGCGGTGGCCCTTGAGCGACCCGCAGTCCAGCAGCGGCATCTGTGCAGAAGGAGTTCTCAAGATGGACTCGCAGCCGCAGTGGCCGCAGCCTCGCACACACCTCTCCTCCGTGGAGGAGGCCCCAGCCCTCCGGGATGCTCTGGATCGTGGACCACCACTGGAGCATCCACCCGGGAGTCCTCCCTCCAGCCGGGTCTCTGCAGACTCAGCACCGCCCTGCGCGCTGCGGCCTGCACTGCCCACCACAGTTACGCGTTCGGTTTGAAATTTCCAGCAGCCGCATTTTCAAAGTAAGAAATAAAGAACAGGCATTCGTTTTAATATTCCTTGAGTCAATAGAGCAAAGATATTTCAGTATGTGATCAGCATAAAAATGTTGGGATATTATACAGTTTCTCTCGCAAAGTCTTCAAAACCTGTCTTCTTGGCCCTAGCCGCTTTGCTGGCATTTGAATCAGGCCTTCTCACAGGACAGACTAAGGTGAAGGAGTAAGGTCCACACTGAGAATGTTTTCTGAAAACTTCTCAAACATTCCATAGTCACTGGCCTCACCCCTCCAAAGATACATACAATTCAAAAACAATTAAAAGGATTCAGAAGGAAATAATATTTAAGGCACACCTTCGTACCTAATCTTTCCCCATACAAACAACAGTGAAATGGTTAGAGTGTCTTGGATCTGTTAACCTCCCTGGGCTGAAGGTAAGCATACACCCCACACCTTTCACTATCAGATGAGAAGCCTACACTTTGCAGAGATAAGTCAGCTTGATACCCCCTTAACATGAAGCATTTTTCCTTCTAGCTCCTCTCATATGAGCTGGACTAGCTCCAAATGTTCTTAATATTTGTGGCGGTCGCCATGCCAATATTGAAGACGCTTTAGCATCACAAGAGCTGGTGTTTCAAATTTCGAAAATTTTTCTCTGTTCTTTTTTTGTTTAGTGCACAAAGAAATGTGTTTCGTTGTGACATTTTCATGCACGTAGTTTGTTCTCACATTTTCCCTTCCTCCCCTCCCGGTGCTTCCCCTTAAAATGGAGACTTTTCACCTCCTTGGCCAACCCTGACTGGGCCTTTCAGTCTCTTTAGAAACTAAGCCTCACCCTAAGCTACGCCCACGGACTAATAGCTGAGACCCTCAAACACTGGGGAACCATCTCCTTCCTTAACTCACTCACTTGCAACTCTGTAAAGTCGGTAAAGTCCCTGGAGCCCAGCGCTCTGCCACGTGAAGCCTAAAGCCTTGCACTGGGATCCCTGGTTCTTTTTCCTCTGCTCCTCCCCCCCAGAGCCCGGGTCCAGTCCTCGACGGCGCAGAGCCTCTTCCACTGGATCCTAGGGTTCCGCCCCTGACCCGGAGCCCAGGCCCTAGATGTTCCGGCAGAGCATCTCACACCCTCACACCACCTCCTCCTCTCCCTCCTCCTCCCTCCTCCTCTCCTCACACCTCCTCTTCCTCCTCACCCCGACGTCCTTCTGACCCACCGCAGCGCATCCTTAAGACTCCAGGGCTACAACTCATCCGCCTCTCCCATCCGTGGCCCCGCCCCGTTGGCCCCGCCCCCAGAAGCCCCGCCCCCGGAGGCCAGGGGTAGGGTGCCCGCTGGCCCAGCTGGCCCCGCCGCCATCTGCCCTGGGTCCTTGGTTGGAACGGACCGAGCACCGTGGGACACGGCAGAGTGGCGGCCCTGGGGCGCTCGGAGGCGAAGATGGCGTCAGGCAAGCGCGCTCCACGCACCGGGCTGCTGGAACTGCGCACCCCGGCGGGCTTGGGGGCCGGCGGCGAGCGGTGGCAGCCGGGGCTGCTCAGTCTGGCCGAGGACGTGCTGACCGTGAGCCCCGCCGACGGCGAGCCCGGCCCGGAGCCGGAGCCCGCGCAGTTCAACGGTACTGCTGAACCCGGCGCTGCGCCCCCGCAGTTGCCGGAGGCGCTGCTACTCCAGCGGCGCCGCGTGACGGTGCGCAAGGCCAATGCCGGTGGGCTGGGCATCAGCATCAAAGGTAGGTGCGGGCACCGAGGGCACGGGGGTAGTGGTGTCTGTGCTGCTGCTGAGCGCTCGGGGGTCACCGGGGCTGGCTGCACACATAGTACCGGATAACTGAAGGCCTTCTGTCTGGGGTTGAGCGGAGTCTAAAGGCAGGAACAGAGAGCACGTGAGGAGTTGGAGGTCTCCTAGGGGGCATGGAAGGCACAAGTGTGGAGGGGTGAGGGAGCAAGGACATGGGTGCATAGTTCTGTGTGGAGGCATGGGGGTAGCTATGGGCAAGTACAAGGGGGTCCCCAGGAAAGCAGCCGGGGTGAGAGGGGATTGAGGCCTGGGACACAACTAGGGTAAGCAGGGAGATGTCCTGAGACACAAGCTAGGTGCACTAGGGAAGGCCTACGTCTGGGAAGCACAGGGTGGACCAGAGGTGGGTGGGGGAACAGGCATGATCACAGAGCACGGGGCCGGCAAGGACCTAGACTTCTGAGGCCCCTAGGATTCCTGGCAGCTGGGTTTGAGTCTCCTGATCAGCCCGTTTGTACCATGGACAGGTTGGAGAGGGTGAATCCAGAGTTGCCATTCTTTCTTGAGAACACTCAGCCCCCAAGACTTGACAGCTGTTTTGTTTTTTTCTTTTTTGACTAGGGACTCAGGTATTCCAGGCTAGCCTCATACTCACTATATAGCAAAGCCTGACCTTGAACTTCTTCTTAAAAAATGATTTATTTTATGGGTGCAAGTATTTTGTCTGCATGTATGTA